TCAGAAACTATGTCACTTTCTTAACTGAATAATGTTACATAATGGAATCATGCAGTATTTAACATTTGAAACTGAATTTTTTAATGCGGCATAGTTCTCTTGAAATAGACCCAATTTATTGTGTGTACCAGTAATTTGTTCCTCTCTGGGAGAGAGAGCTCTGTTTATAAAAAGGAAACATACAACATGAAGAATCCTTGCAGTAATGAAACTGTTACGTATCTTAATTATATCAATAGAAATAAGGTGGTTGTGATATTGTACTATCGTTCTGCAAGATCTTAGCATTGGGAGAAACTGGATAAAAGGTAAATGAGACCTTTAGATTGTTTCTTACAGCTACGTGTGAATCTGTTACTACATCAAGATAATGTTAATAAATCAACAATTCAGATTAGACAGTGTTACTTGTTCCATTTGGTGAACTCCTGCTTAAATGTCATGCCAGAAATTAAAATAAACAGGAGCTGAACCACGGGCTCAAGGATGCCCTAAAACTCAACATAAAGTCCTCAGTGGTGTGGAAAGTGAGATTTTAAAAGACAAGTATATTTGGACAACAGTATTATATTCCAACAAGGGAATACAAAGGGAAATGTGCAGAAGAATATGTATGTATAATACACCAAAAATAGCTGCAAGACAATGAAAGTGGAAACAAAAGAAGGGTTGATCACTGTTCTTAGTCTGAAGAGAGAAGGGCAAAGGGAAAAGTATCAATAGGAGTTTTAAAGGATAAATAGGGCTTGTATACATTTCAAGGGAGAAGAGTCAATGAAATGGAGAGATTGAAGACCTAAAAATGAGATGTTTTGAAAAAATAAAATGCCAAAGAATTTGACAATATTCAACATCCATCTGTGCTGAATCGGGAAATGACAGATACTCCTTTAAGATAGTAAAATATTCTGAAATTTTGGCTGGTGGCCAAATTAAAATTTTGCCTTGACCCAATTAAAATTTTAAATTAAAAAAAGATAGTAAAATAGGTAAGTTTCAGCCCAAAACCCACAACTTAATTTGAAAGCATGAAATCATCAAATTAAAACCCAGAGCAAAACCAGAATGCCTACTGTTATTTAATGCTGGATTGAAGTTATTAGAAAATGTAGTTATAAGTGGGAAATAAATATGATGTATAACAATCACAAAAAACAAGTATAAATCTTCCTGCTTACAGAAGACTTTATTACATATCTAAAAAATCTTAAAGAATCAATGGGAAAACCTCTACAAATGTTGACGCATTCACCACAGAGAAATGAAACATTTAATATGATGCGTATGCCATTTACCTTGATTTTATCATTGCACAGTGCGTGCATTGAAGCATCACACTGCACATCATATATATGTATAATTATTAGGTCAATCAAAATTTTGAAGTGAAAGCCTCTAAAATTAATAAATTGTATTACAAAGTTGAAAACTGAAGTACAGTAATAATACTAATATACACAAATAATAATCAGATCTAATGAAGCATACAACTCTTATTACAGTCACTAAAATAACAGAATTCCAAGGCATGAATTTTTTAAAAATGCAAGACAGAGATGGGGAAAACTATGAAACACTTTCCAAAGATACTAGTGCATACCTGAGAAGCGTGGGCAGTTGTGACACACTTCGTAACTAGACGTCTTGAGATTGAAAGATGTGGCTCCTCTCTAAGTACACTTGTAAACTAAAGACAATCTTTGATGCATCTATGCAGTAAATATGCCATCAAGTTTTTCCTAGAGCTAGACAGACTAACTATAAAGATTATGGTTAAATAGGAATAGGTAGAGAAACCCTGAAAGAAAAATATATGGGAAGCTGTCTTCAAGGTACAAAAAAATAATGAAGCTTCTATAGTTAAAGCAGTATGGCATTGGTTTATGGATAACTTGACAGACCAACAGAACAAAATGGAAAGCACAGAAGTAGCTCAACTGCCTATGACGTTTAGTATGTGATAAAATCAGGAGCTCAAAATTATGGAAAAGATGGACATTTTTAAATATGGCAGTAGAACTACTGGATTGCCATATGGAAAATAATGAAGTTGGTTCCATTCCTCATACCATATACTGGAACAATTTCTAAACAGATTGGATGGAGTAGGGATGTAGCTCAGTGGTAGAGGTTGTGTCCAGCATATGCAAGGCCCTGCATTGCATTTATTATTATCAAAAGCAAAATACAAAATAAATAAATAAGCAAATAAATAAGACATCCACATATAATAAAATGAAATAATACACACATTCTGAAAAATGAATAGATTTAGAACGGAAAGGAAAATGAAACATTTCTAATTATATATTTTTTTAATTTTAAAAATTAAAAAACTGACAAAACAACAAGGAAAACAAAAACAAAACAACACAAAAACAACAAAAATGATACATGACCTCAAGACAAAACGATAGAGATTTACAGTGGTTGTTAAATTACATACTGTTATCTTCAACGAAGTTTCTCAGTCCATTAGACATAAGAATGTAAGATTGATGTAACAGTCAAAGACAGTAACAAGTAAAAATAAAAATAATTTTTAAAAAACATTGGAAATGATGCAGAGCTTCACCATACAAAATGGTAGGAGTTCAACAATGGTTCTTATACTACATATTGTTTTCAGATTAATTACCAAATTCAAGTGTGTAGAACTGGTCAAGAAAAAAAGAAAATTTTAAGCACTGACTTCTTCTCAACATCTAATTATATTTAAAACAACAGATACAATAAAATATTAATGGATATAATTTACAATACATAAAGAAATGTTTATGGGGCTGGGGATTTAGCTCAGCGGCAAAGCGCCTGCCTGGCAAGCGCAAGGTCGTGAGTTCGGTTCCCGGTACCGGAGAAAAACCAAAAAAAAAAAAAAAAAGAAATGTTTATATCATAAAGAAAATCAAAAGCCAGATAACAAATTGGGTAAAATAATACACAACTTATATTTCATACAAAAAACTAATACCCTTCATATACTGTCCTCCTGAAAACTGAGATTTAAATTGCAATAAAAAAGAGTATGAAAAATCATTCCATATAAAAAAATCAGGGGGCTGGGGATTTAGCTCAGCGGCAAAATCGCCTGCCTGGCAAGCGCAAGGTCGTGAGTTCGGTTCCCGGTACCGGAGAAAAACCAAAAAAAAAAAAAAATCAGGTAATCATCAGCTTGATGGAAATGTTCTCAGTTTTTCTCAAAATAAGAGAAATATAAAACAAAATAATCCCAAAAATCTCTTTCTCATCTATCAGCTTGGAAAATTGGAAAATTTTTAAATATACTAAGTGGGCAGGTTGCAGAAAAGTAGTCTCTCCTGCAGGGAATTCAAATCTGTTCTTCCCCCAAAGATCCACCAGATTTAAGGCAATCTCAATCAAAATCTCAGCAGGTTTTTTGTGGGAATTTATAAGCTAACTGAAAATTAATGTGAAAATGTAGAGGATCTAAAGTACACAAGATAACTTTTCATTAGTGCATATTAACCACAAAATCAATGAATTTCATTTTGGCAGATCTATACAGACGTAGGACATATTTTGATCATCCCCCATCACTGCTTTGGCACTTCCCTCTTCCCTCCCTCTTGTTCCCTTGATCAACTTCAAAACAACTTTCTAAAAATTGAACATAATTGAGGACTTACCCAAATTGATTTCAAGAATTATTATAACACTACCAGTAACCAAAAGCATGTGGTCTGGGCATCAAGATAGAAAGAAATAGAAAAGAGACAGCAAAAACTGACACATAAATATTAGATTAACTGATTTTTAAGAAAGGTAAAATATAACTCTCATAAGCTATAAGAAAAAGAAACATAATAATTTTGATCCATACCTCATATATACAAAATTTAATCAAATGTATTATATTTGCAAACATAAAAATCTATAAAACTTCTAGAATAAAATGCAGGAGAAAATGTTTGTAATATTTTTAAGCAAAAATTCTTGGGTATGACAACTAAGCTACAATTCATGCAAGAAAAATTTCTGATAAATTGGACCTCATTAAAATTAAGAACTTTTGTAATAGAATGAAAATACAAGCCATGCATTATTTTAAAAAGCACACATTCAATAAAAGACTCGAATCCAGAGTATGTAAATAATTGAAATAAGATATAAATTTAATAATAAGATATAAATTTAATTTAAATATTACATAAACAATTTGAATAGATATTTCACCAAGGAGCATTTATGGATGGCAATGAAATCTTTTAATAAACATGTACAGATTTTCACTATCATGAGTCATTAGGGAAGTACACTCAAAACACAATGAAATATCACTATATACCAATCAGAAGAATTTCAATTAGAAATTAGGCCATACCTAATGCTGGTGGAGATGTGAAAGAACAGAAAGTCTCAAATTCCAATAGTAGGAGTGTTAAAATGGTACAATCACTTGGAAAACATTTTTGCAGTTTCTTTAAAACTTAAACATGCATCTATGATACTATGAGCCATTACACTCTTAGATATTACTCAAGAAAAATGAAAAGATATGCCATGAACGGGTTTGTACATGAATGTTCATGGTAGTTTTGTATGTAATGGCCAAAGACTGGAAACAGCCAACATATCCATCAGTAGGTGATTGAATAAACAAATGGTGGTATGGACTACCGCATAGCAATACAAAGTAACCAATTAGTAATACATGTGCCGATGTGGTAGACTCACAGAATACTTAAACTGAGTGATAGAAACCAGTCAATTGAGTGCATACTGTATGCTTTAATTTATTCAAAACTCTTGAAAATTAAAACAAAATAGTAACAGAAAGCAGATCACAGATGGAGGGTGGAGAGAAGAAGGAGAAGGGAGAGATTCTGAAGGATATTTAGTTTCATGATTTAATACATATATATGAAATTTTATCCAAATTCATTTTGTAAACGTATGCAATTTATTGCATATCTACTATCAGATTAAAACTCTCAAAAAATCAAATGGATAGATAAAAATTACATAAAAGTTTACTGAATTTAAAATACTTGTAATCATACAGGACCCAAGTTTGCTGCCCTTTCTGAGCATTGGTCAAATAGAGACAGAGATAAATGGAACCACTGAGGAGAGACAGAAGAGTAGGAGAACCAAAATCCAGCCAGACCTGAGACTGCCATGGGTTTCCTGTGCCGCCACCTCTCCATGTCTTCTTTCTCACTCACACCCCTTAATATTGCTCTTCTGACCTCAGGAAGGACAGTGCGCTAAGCATATAAGACAAACTTGTAAATTAAGCTGCATTAAAATTAAGAATGTTTGCTCTTAAAGACACCATTAAGAATATGCAAATCACTCAAAGGGAAAAGATACATATTTATATAAATATATACACATACATGTATGAAGAGTTTTATATTATGCTGTTAAATATATAGAATATATAGATTATATGTGATTACACAAATATATATGTGTACATATACAAATATTCTTATACTGTATATGCATATGAAGTTACACAGCATGTATACATGAAAAAAAATCAATGCACTTAGGATTTGTGTACTTTGCTGTGATTTGTATTATGAAATCTTTTAATAAAGATTTCTGTTTCATTTCGTTACCTATATTGTACTGCTCACCACATCCACCCTACTCCTGAATTCTAATACCTCCTAATTCAATGATCTATTCAATCTTAGGTATGTACAGTCCTCTCCCTATATGCTTATTATTTTCACTTCACCACATCAAACAGAATCAAAGGACAAAGTAAAAAATTTATCTAAAACTTTATTTTCCAATGGAAGAACACTTTCCTATTGAAAAGTTCATAAATCAATACAGTATTTCTCATTTATACCTCACCTATCATTGTTTATCAAGGAAACTGTACACTCATGGAGCCAAAAGCTGTTCTGATTCTTTATGTAAAGCTTTGTCTTTCTTCATATAATACTATGGACTTACTAATTTATCCAGAGATCACCTGGTTTTCCCATTGTTATAATACCATGGTTACCTCTAATACCTGAAAATTCTGTAGCATTTGCTTCTCCTAATATGAACTTCTTGATGCTGCCCTGAAACGTGCCCCAAAGTATCTATTTCTACATTACTTTTTCTAGACCGGTGTTATCTAATACAGCCACATATGTTATTTTAGATTTCCTGGTAAATACATTAAAAACTAAACAGAAGAATTAACTTTAATGATCTGTTTAATATATCTAAATGTATCAATGGGATATTTTACATTCATTTTTATAGTAATTCTTCAGAGAGCCACTGTGGATTTTATATGCACTTTGCACACTTACAGTACATCTCAATCTGGATGAACAGACCGCAAGTGCTCAATAGCCATACATGGCTAATGACTACCTTATCAGAGAGTGCAGCTCCGAATTACCAAGAACTTCCTTGTCAGACTTCTAACATACAACTTAACCCCTGGGACTAGACTTCAAATGCTGGCTCTGTTAGTCTTGAAATATATATAACTCACCCAGCATCTTTTTTTTCATTTTTCTTTTATTTATTTATTTTTTTTCCTACAAGAAATCATCCAGTATCTTCACACTCCTTAAAACTTTACTTCTCTCCCTTGAAGTTGTGACCAGCCAGAATGTTTCCCTGCTGCTCCACTCAAGTCAGTGGGCACCACGCTTAGTTCTGTATGAAGCCTAAGGTACTTCTCAAGTATAGATTACCAAATTCATCAAACACTGATCTTGGCATTTTGCCAAGACCAACTCAACAAAATATTTCACCTCCTACATTCTTGCAAAATGTGATATATTAAAATTATCTTGTGAAAACTAGCATGAAGTTACTGTGAATTTATTCATAACTTAAATGTGTTAGGTCAACTAACATGCAAAATGAAATCTTCCAAGAAAGCGAAGAGGAAGAAAATATGGCACAACAGCAAACAAAGTAGATTGTAAATCAAGATGAGATTACAACACCAACACTGGTAACGGGTAGTTTTGTTTGGGGGCAACATACAAATATTTCTTAGTATGGAGGGGATGAATAAAATGATTCTTAAAACGTATTTAACATTGAATATTCTTTAATTATGGAAACTGTTTTGAACAAATAAAAGAACTAGGGGTAAGGGTAGAGGAGAATAAATCAACTCAAGAAAAGAGCTAAAATCCTTCCATCCATGTAGGATACAAAGCACTGGAGCTTGGATTCCTCACTGAAAAGATAATATTCACAATAAAAACGCAGTAAACAATGCTTGGATTTTTATTGATAATTCCTAAACTTTCTTTTCAGGAGTGTTACAATTTAGATCAAGAATATTCACCAAAGACCTCATGTACTCTTAGTCCAGCCTTTTAAAAGATGCTGAAATCATGGGAGGCAGTATAGCTGACTTGCTGTCAGGAGCTGGGGTCTGGTGAGAAGAAGCTAGTCACTGGAAGCTGGATCTGAAAGGGTATATCTCACCTCTCTCTCTGTCTCTCTCCCTCTCCCTCCCACCTATCCTCCCTCCCTCCCTCTTCTCATGCCCAGACTCCATGATGTAAGCAGCTTTCCCTCCACTATGCCCCTCTGCCATGTCATTTTCTATCTTAGAGCCAATCAATTATGAATGGTAACCATGAGCCAAAATAAACATGCTTTCCTCCTTTAAAATATGGGAGTCAGATATTGTGGTTCAGTGGTAATGAGGAGACTAAGACAAAGTTGTTCTGCCCAAGGTTTCCTTCCAGGAAAGATTAATGGCTTGAACACGGCCATAGCAGTGTAGAGATCAGGGAGGCCACTTTCCCCTGGTCCACATGGAAGAAAGTCATACATAAAAGTGTCTGACCCATAGAAAGAGAAATTGTAATTATGCAGGAATTACAAATACCAAAGGCTCTAGATCTTCCCTTAGTAGAACTAATGTGGAGAATGTTGGAAAAAATGAAACTATGAGAAATTAAAATAGCAACAATGGGAACCCCAAGGCTAATGCTCACAGTAAAGACCACTTCAAATGATTGGAAGAGCTATTGGGCCTATCAAGGAGGAGAATGTTGTCGCACATATAGTGATTAAGGAAGTTGCCTACACAGAAGGTCAGAAGTACTGCATATCAGTAGGGCCCACACCCCAAAACCCCATCCCATAGACACCGGATGAAAGCGTAAACACACCTGTAGACATATGACTGCATACAGCAATATTTCACACATGACAACTTAGCAGTCACACACTGACAAGATGAAGGACTAAGATAATGAAAAAAACAAGAGAAAAAGAGCTGAGTCATTGAAAGATTCTTCTTTGAAAGAAGCTCATCAGCTTTTGGGGTGTGAGGGCAGTGGAGTAATTAAAATGTCTAACAGAAAGTTGAAGGGAGCAAAGTACACAGGAGGGTGGAAGAGAGAATTCAACCCTTTGATGGTGATCAAGCCCAGGTTTCCTACCATAGGGACCATGTAAAGACCAGGAAACAAGAATAGGGATGCAGAGTCCAAGGTAGTCCTTTAAGCCTGTAATGATAAACTGTCACAGAGGCATTCTAAGCACTGTTCTCTAGGAGGGTTTGTGAGGGGTAAAGAAAATAGTCATGGAAAGGACAGAAAAAAAGTCTCTTGTTCTTGAGAATGCCATCTGAACAAGAAAGTGTTTAAATGTCAAAATAGCATTTCCTCATCTCTGTGTCTGTTTTCATAGTCCCCAAATCTATTTAACCATCCTACAGATGGTTGAAGGGTGAAATTTCCTTCAGAGCAGAGGTTGGTACAACTAAAAGAGTCCACACGCCTGAGCCGGGGTAACACTCAACTTTTGCCTTTCAGCCTTCTGTGTACTGTCCTCTTTCCACAGCATTTATCAGATTAGTGCAACCTTCCATTACTAGGGATAAAGTTGTATGGACCAGAGTCTTTAGCCAACAAGGTGGTGGGAATTATCACATGATAATAATGAGTAATTACATAAAGTTATTAATTAAAAGACAAAAAATATTTACTGAAGGGATCTAAATCCTGTGTGGCATTACAACCATCCCCATTTTATAGATGCCTAAACAGCTTTCACCATATCCCAACGCTGCTGAGCTGCAGCAGAAGGTGAACTCAAGCCATCCAGCTTCAGTACTTGAGCTTCCACCCATTCTACTACAGGGCACATCAGGTCAAGAAGGCACTCACTCTTTCAGCTTGGAACTACACCGATGTTTTCAACTCTGTTCCAACCATCTTTTTCATGATGATCAAATAGTCCTAAGGAAAAGAAAGACAATTTAAGGCCCACGGTCCTCCACTTCTGTTTTCTGCTTTGGGGATCAAATCTTCTGGCTTATCTTTGTTTTCTTCCTGAGCTACAGAACAAGGTCTCTGACTGTGCTTTTGCCCTGAGGCTCCTATCCAGCTTCCAGGGAAGGGACAAGATCCTTTCCTAGCACCACAGATAAGCTGAAGAGTTTTGCTTTGAAACAGGATCTCAGTGAGCTAGTTAGAAGCTCCCACAGAACCATGTGTGGAGCCTGTTCTCCCCACAAAAGAAGAAATTGTTCATTTGCACCCTTCATAATGCTACATCTGGCTTTTAATGACTTGTTCTTACCTTCAGAGTCCATCTCTTTGTGTACAATCAAGAACAAAGCTCTGGGGACCAGATGATTCTTGCTGCCTTGCATTGAGCACTTACTGTGTACCAATAACTGAACACTGTCATCAGGAGACCAAGGATGCAACAACAGTGTACAAATAGCTTTGCTTCATTTATTACTCCCACAAATTCATCCACTAGATCTATTAGTCTCCACTTTAAAAGTGATGGGAACACAGCACACAGATTCCAGAATCATGATCAAACCTTGATCTTTTCAACTCAAAACTTTGCTGAGTCTCTTAAGCTCAAGGTATTTAATGTATGGTACAAAAAGACCCAATTTTTTCTCCTGAGAACAGTTCTCCGTCCCCTACATGGGGCAAATTTAGGGAGAGATTTCATTAATACAGGGACAAATAAAATGTGGTATTGCATGTCTTCTACATACCTAACCAGAAGATTTCATATATTCAAGGATGACTGATTGCATAGTCATAAAATACGTGCCTCAGGTAATTAGAGCTTCAGTGTGCCAGTGGGTTAGGTATGCTTTTGGTCCTAGGTTAATGGCAGGAATTCTTGGAGAAGTTATAAAATCTTACCACAAAATCAGAAGTCCATTTTCTTGCAGGCAGGCCCTACTAACAACTGCACATAAGCCCATGTATATTTTTGAATACTCACAAGTACATCCGTATAGACTTGTTCTTCTTGAGCTTGGTTTTAGCGACAATGATGCCTCATCAGTCAGTTTACAACTAGAATTGTCCACATCCCAGGGTAACTCTAATGAATCTCACTCCTTATTGCCAATCACAACACAAAAAAAGGAGAAATATTATCGTGTTAATAATATTCTCTAGTTAGTGCAGACTGTTCAGGCCCACAATCTCCTAAACAAGTGGATGGTGAAGGCTTAAATAAATGAGAAAAATAAAATGATTTCAGGGCTCCAGGAGGATCCAAACCTAATCACAGAATTTGCAATTCTCTGGGTTAAGAAAAAGAACTCTAGGCAGCCCATATTTATTAGGTTTTCAAACAGAGAAAGGGGATATTTAAGAAAATGTGGGCATTTTAGCAGGACCTTGGGAAATATTTTCCCAAGTAGTAAATTATGTCAATCAAGTTTAGTTAATTGGGGTTGGAGCCAAACATCCTCAGCTGTGGCCTTATCTTGTCTTTTGAGGCAGCCCAACCTCACAGGCCTTGGCAGAGAACAGTGACTCATAGAGGTTCACTTACTATGAGTCTGCTACCCATCTCCCATCTCCAGACAAGGGGCCTAGGCCTTGGGAAAACTCACATGTAAACATGAAAAGCCAACTGGTTAATATTAAATCCTGCTCAGAGCCACTTCATAGTGGTCTTCATCAAAAAAACAATTCATTAAAGCAAATTTAAATGAGGCCATAAGGCAGAATCTTGTTGAGAACCAAGTGCAAAGATGTTAGAGGTTCTCTGGAAGCTCTAAGGAGATTTGTCTGTTACTACGGAGATGGTTGCCATGGCAACTTCATTTCCAAATGCATCTTAGGTAGGGCTTCTCTAAAGTCATGTTACTTAATCACTCGTTCCAGCAGAAGCAGCAAGCAAAAACAACTACTGTTTTCCATTTCATTCAATATTGTCCACTTCTAAAACTTGAGGTTATAAAAAATGTTTTCCTTCTTCTATGTATTTCTAATTTAAACTACATATGATACGTCACATAAGGAAACATGAAGCATTATATACAACAAAATATTTCTGCGTATATATCTCATGCATGTACATTGCCTCTCAGGCTTTGATCATCAAATTGCAAAGTATTGTCCAGAGCAAATCATCAAACGCTATTAGCTTCCCAGCCTTAATGAGGAAAAAACACAGACTTGGCCAGAGAGAAGAGATGGCAGCTCACAGGACTTCAATAACATAGTCTCAATTAGCACCTGAAAAAAATACATAGGATTAACCTGTAGCAAGCATATAGGTCTGCATTAACACAATATTAAATTCATTTTAATGAGTAAATTTGGCAATGTAGTACACCAATAATAGAAAAATATGGTTCATGCCAGGAGGAAACTTACAGCCTAACAGTGACATCTCCCACATTGACTCTTCTTACTTCTGCTCATTCAGAGTTTACACTTACAGGGTACAGTTCCAGACTCCAATACATTTTCTTCTTCCCTCAGATCTTGGTGGGCTTATTTGTTTCACGGCTTCAACAATAGCTCTACACAAATGACTGCAAAGTTTATGTCTTTAGTTTTCAATTTTCCATTAAGCTTCTTCTATCCTACAGTCACTGCAGAACTCAAGTACAAAAACAGACACATCTTTTTCCCGAAAGATAGATGTCTTCTCAATCACTCTGTTGATTTGATTATTAACAATAATGAGGGAGTAAAATGTAGAATTCATAGTTATTCTAAGTCATGATTTTTCTAGGGTAGTGTCGGTTTATATCTACTATTCCAGAAAAATTATTAGTAGCTCCCTCTTTCACTCTGACATGAATCCTAATTGACTAAGTATTCAGACAGTGAACATCAGAAACTGGCAGACCTCAACTGTTCTTTTACTTTTTAATTTTTTTATGTAAAATGAGGAAAATAATCACAACTCAAAGAATGTTTAAACAGTGCATCTTCTGGTACAAGGAGGACACTAACTGCAGTTATTTAATATTACTATATAAATAACAGTTTTATAAGTAACAGTTATATTTTAAGCATATTAGTTTAAAATGTATTATTATTTACTAGTACAATAATAATAATTATACCTTCTGATGAAAGTAATTTCAGAATAGGCTGGAACAAGATAAAATGAGAGGTACTCAAAGTCTTTACACAAGCACTAGAAACAAAAATATACTAACTGTGAGCCACATCATGATATGATGAAATGTAATGCAAAATTTAGAATCTCTGTAGATTGAGAGAGAACAGCAGAAAAGAAAGGGCACAAATCAAATTTGATTGCATTTTTAAGTCCAAGAAAACCAAAATAAGAAGAGAGAACTGGGGAAATAAGGAAAGGAAAGGGCAAAGAGCTAGTTTTAAACAAAACCCTGAAATGTTGGAAACACCTCCAAATTATAGAGATCAGACATTTAAATATTGAAGACCAGAGCCTGAGTGAAAGGGATCAGATAATAGTTGGAGGATCACGTGAACACAGTGATCACATAAAAATGGGGACATCACTTCAAGGAGGAGCACATAAGGCAGAATGATGACCCCTTGAGGCAAGGACAGATTTCTATCAAAAATGTCAACAAACAGTTAATAAAATAAGAAAACTGACAAAGTAAATGTTTCCCCCAAAAAAGGAAATTTAGCAACTGAGGGTAAGAATTTGAGGAAAACCAAACCTGAAATTTAACTATATGCCTCATTTCATGGTAAACCTGAGTGTCAAATTAATTAAGACATTTTCCTTGTTGAAAATGACAGATATTGGAATGGATTAATTATGCTTCAATGAGTATTCATTTCATAAATATTAGCTGAATCTGTAAAATGTCACAGGGGCAAAAGTGGAGAGAATTTAGAAAATAAGGGATAAGCCTAACCTTAATCCTAACCACAAGGAATTAAATATAACTGAGGATAACAATGACCAAGTCATTGCCTTACCCTCTTTTTGACTTATTTTTCTACATGATTCATTATACTCAGCCTACTGTGCACCTATATTATAAATTGATTGTTTCTAGATTATAGTCCCCAAATCTCAACTAGATTAAAAGCTTCTTCAAGGACAGTTATAAGTTCTATAACATCGGTGTACACTAACACATTCATTTCCATCATCTGATAATGGGTAAATTCTAGATGCTCCTCAAAAACCAGCTTGGCTAAGGGTGAGTGGTAGGGTGCTTTCCTAGCAGGTGTGAGGCGTGGGGTTCCATCCTCAGAACCGGAAGGAAAAAAACCTTACTGAATGTAAAGGCCTCCTGTGTAAATATAAAGCAGTAAAAATCTATATTGCAAATATGTAATTCCAGATATTTTTAACTAAATACAATTCATCAGAGGTTTTGTTTTTTTGGTTTTTTGTTTTTTGGTATTTCTCTGGTACCGGGAACTGAACTCACAACCTTGCGCTTGCCAGGCAGGCGCTTTGCCGCTGAGCTAAATCCCCAGCCCCCGTCAGAGGTTTTGTTAAGCAGACCCTTTATTCTTCAACAAAAATATGACGTACACTAACTTGATTTACTGAAACTAATTTAGAAGCCTTTAGCATGTTGACACCGGTACTGAAGATAACGATACCAGAAGATTTCTGCCTGTCAAGGTCAAAGTGATTGTAGAAAAGGGTTCCAAGTTTCTTATTAAGCGAGGGCACAGGAAAGTAACTAAGTGACACAATTGCTGTAAAGACTTCAGAGTTGCCAAGCAACTCAAATCTCTAAACTGAAGACCTTTCTCTTAAGGGACTTAAATTCAGGAAAGGTGTTAATTAGTAAAGCAGAGTTGTGAAAATTGCAACTCTTTAGCCCTTGAGAAAGTAAAATTCTGTAAAAAGTCTATCATTCACAAGTGGCGAAAAGAGTACAAAAGACATCAAGACTGCTCTAAGAAGTGTGATATGGATAGTGTTAATTTAAAAAATCTTTCAAGTGTTATTTATTAGGAAGTAGGTATTTGATTTGATGAGTACAAGTGGGGCAATTATTCTAAGTGTACTGGAGGTGTTTAATACACAAATAATAAAATCAAACTAAATGTTTTATGCTTGTGAAGAAATTAAACAAGTAAAAAAAGCAATGTAGCAAAGTTCTTTTGTTGGATAGATGCTCCCTATAGTCCTAATCACAGAAGAGAGGATATACTACATTTCTAAGGACAGTATGGAGGAGGAGGCTGGACAGAGGTTGGTCAATGAAAACAAAGTTATAGAAAAATAGGAGGAAAAAGTACTGACATTCTATTGCATAGTATAGTGATGGTAGTTAATAATATATTATTATTTCATTCACTAAAAATTGGAAAAGAAAACCATATGTTTCTTTAGTGACATGTTCCAATATTTTTGATATCTTTCTCTCAGGAACTTTAGTCATAATTTAACTTCAAGGCAATATGGTACCCTAGATGGATCTTTTGAAACAGTGTAGCTAATTCCTTGAAAAGGAATTTACCAACAGGAGGATTTACCAAAATAAGTTCATTGAATAAGCGATTAGAAAAACTTCACTTTTTCCTTTAAAATTTTATTCTCTACAAGCATTACACGTGTTTTAGAAAAGTCATACAATGCATGGCAGGCTAGGGGCAATGAAGCTTTGAGGATGTGCACTGAGCAGCACAGGTACTTAGAAATGGGAGGCTAACAGGGATCTCACAGTGGGAAGCCAACGTGAAGGATGAGCCCCCTAGACTGAGTCCCCACCAAGGGTGTTTAGGAAGGAAACCTGCACTGCCTCTCCAACCACAGCTTACATCTCTGTTGGGAGAGGATCTCACACCCTGATGGAAGGAGCCAAGTAGCACAGCAGAGGCCTAGCAGACACCGGCCAGGGCCCATCTGTCCTCACTGCCCCCCACACACGGGGTGGGAAGCTGGTGGAGCAAGATATTCACAGATGAGTGTACTGGACCACTGAAAGCCAGAGAACCAGAGAAACACTGAAATCCAGAGAAAGGGCAGTGACTGAGCTGAGTCTGGTGGGTCCTAGAGAATGTAAAACACAGGAGTGCGGTCCTGATTTGAGACCCAGAATGAGACACTGAAAGAGTCACGGCAAAGTGAACTGCAGGGGTGGGCAAAGTTTGCAGCCTGTATGCTCCGGGGTGGA